GGCGGTCGCTATAAAAAGATGCAGAGCCGCTGCCAAGTTAAAATATCAGGCGGTTATTTCGAGATCAATACAACACAACCAACAGAAACTAAACTTGTCAAACTCCTTCGGACGCGGCGCAGGTTGGTTCGTGAAGCGGGGCTTGGGGGCCAAGTGATGGAGACAAAGAAGGAGAAGAAATAAACAAGCGGTAAAGAAGAAAGTGAAGAAGAAGAGACTCTTTCAAATATAAGAGAAAAGAGTCGCTGATGGTATATTACTCGCCCCAAATTAGATATTGGCAGAAAAAGCGGCAGCGAGATTCGATCCGAGATGAACACAGCAAGGATCAACTGAGACACCCACATGCAGTTAATTCTCAACCTAGGCGATAATACACACTTAAAGATAAAAGAACTATTTTGCATTTATGAATAAGAGTCTGATTCTTTTGTGAACGAGGCTGGTTATACACAGCCTCACTTGGCTGTGACTTGGCGGGTTGAAAAAGATGCAGAGTGCGGAGATTCACGATGACGTAATTTGATGATTGTGAAACAGCCTCACAATTACTGACGATTGTGCTCTGTATTGGATACACATGTAGGCATGAGTGAGCTGTAAAAAGTGGGTTGTTAGGTAGTTTCAATCCTTTTATGGCGCAGCGATCACTGAATCTCACTCAGATTGATCCGCAGCTAGAGATGATCCTGTCGCCAAAGATAGATCGTGAATGCAACGAGATCTCACTGTCAAGACACTGCCCTATTCAAGAATTATTCCTTCGAGACATCGAGGCTGGAGTTCAAAGGGCATATATAAAGTCCATGGATCCATCTGCACTGAACAGGTTGGTGTAGATCATGTCAGCCTTGAAGCGGGGAACATTGCTTTTGTCTCGACTCTACCCTATATCACCACGATAATGTGGTAATCTCACAAACTCCTCCACTACTTTGTCTTTTTTCATATCTAAATGGCCTCTCATCGAGTAAATGATATCACGCCCACGTCAGTCCGGACCGTCGCGCTCCTCCACGCCATCTCCTCGGCCGTCGCCATGAAACAGCCCGAAAGAGGGGTTAATTCGTTCCGATCTTATCCATCTCTAGTATGATTCCAGCTTAGCTTCTAACGGTTGCAGCGGCTATCTCAGATTTCTCAAGGATCATCTGCTTCTATCTCTTACGTGTGACATCGCTTAGCCTAGAGCTAGGAAACTCTAATATCCTCACCATGCACGATATCATGTCGTCCCGATAGCAACCGCGAGTATCGAGATCTAGCTACTGTTGTCAGGATTCATGCAAGGCGAGTCAAGATGTCACATGAGATGAGGTACATGTTCAAGGCATGCAAGCTTCAATTGTCTCTAAACTGCGCTGCCATCGAAAGTTGGCGGTCCCAGTCCATCACCAGCATGTCTCTAGTTTCTTTCTTTCCTTTCCATTGTACCTGTCCATCCGACTTGCTCATTGAGCTCGCATTAGATGTCCTCCTGTATCGTATCCTGGAGGCATGGCCCTTAGAGGCATGCGAGTATGGTTGTCATTGCCGAGTGTCGTTGGTGATGGAAGAAGGAATTTAGTGCTATTGAGTAATTAGAAACTGTTCAATATATGGTATGGAGTCTGGCAGGAACTAACCTTGCAGCAAGAGCAGCTGGTGGAGCAGCTAGAGGCCTCGTGGTTGCAGCAAGAGCTAGATAATGTTAGTCAAATGCTCGATGCTTCACCGTTGCAACTCTTTCAGGCTCGATGACCATCAAGATGCAGTGGTAGATTGAGAGGGGCTCACCAGGGAGACATGTTGATAGTTGTTGGTGAAGAAGGTCTTCAAAAAAGTTGTAAGTGTTGTGTGTGTGTGTGTGTTGAAGTGTGAGATTGTTGGATGATGAACAAAACCCGATTTGAGCGAGATGAACCGCCCTTCTTATACTTTTCCGATCCTCATATTCTCAACCATCTTCGATCGAACTCCATCTCTCAGTTGTCTGATTATCGCATCCAGCGTGGGTATGGGCGTGTATGGAGGTGGGAGTGACTCCACTCCATGTGCATCACCAACTTGTCTCGAATCCAATCAAGTCTCAGGGTCCTCCCAAGTCAAAGTGACCTTCACCCCGCATGCCCATGTACGATGTGGGAGGCCCATGTTTCTGTAATTGGCCGAGATGATGCATAGTGGTTGCGCCGAGCCTCCACTACAGGGAGAGCTCTCCACCGTGAAGCTCCAGCTCAAGCTCTACTCGCGCCGTCCCGAGATGCAGCCACTGCGAAATGAGTTTCATGGCCGCCGGTGTTGCAACGCAGGCTTGCGCCTATTGAAACAAACGGCAGCAGATGTGGAACTGGTGGCTTCTTTCCAGAAAAGGTAGGATTGGCATGCTACTGAGGCCTGCCGCTGACATCGTAGTGGTATCGCCACGTAACGCATGCAGATGTAGTTCGCGAGATATGCCCAGTACCTATGGATGTCTTAGCTTGAGCCGGTTTCCGATAGCTCAGTGTAGCTGCCAGGGACAAGGCAGCTCCTGAAGCAAGTCATGCTTCCATGGAACTTGGACACTTGGGAGTGGGGGTTCATCCCAGCGACGACAGAGCTTTGGAAAGGCTCAAGCCGGACTGACTAAAATAGCTTCGTCCATTGTCCACACCGGTGAGTAGGGGCCTGAGCTAGGGTTGCAAGAGAAAGAGGGAAAGGATGTTGTACCTCGAGACCCTGCGTCGAAGCCGGGGTAGTTCCCCTTTGGGCCTACCGAGACGTCTTGCCCTGTACGTGGACGAATCGAGAGAATAGATATGCCGGATGGGGGTACACACAGAGCGAGAAGGTGTAAGAGGAAGCGATGAGAATGGATATGAACATGTGAGAGGAATAAGAGTTGGACTTATTCGCCGAGTGGGGTAGGGAACCAAGACAATGATAATGTGAGGCAACCAATAGCAGACGAGCTATGTCTGATGGATGATCATGTTAGAGTGAAGCCAACAACAATCTGGTAACGCCTGCCGCTGGAATGATAATCAATAACCAAGATAATCATGCAGTAGATGCCCGGCGAGGACTAGTTCATCATCGTGATACGTGAACGTGACGAGCCAGTGTGATGAACAAGCCTATCAACAAAAACGGAGTGTGATAGGCATAAGTGAGACGGATCGATGAGGGATAATCGAGAACAACTTGGGCATGGATGGGGACCACAAAAGCCAATACGTTGACGGCTCAGAGTCGATTAGTTCTGTACCATTCATGCATGCATCCCGCGCATGCATCTTTGGCAAGATTGGGCAATGATTGGTGTGTTGGGCCCTCTTACACAAAGCGAGGATGGGAAACACAAGGCAGTGAAAGTATATCCCAAAGCAATGGAGAAAGCGTAGGACTATTGCGCCCGTGAATGAGACTTTAGTCATGGGAAACCCATCGGGCTACCGGAGGTGTGGGTGCGGACGTGGGAGTGTAAATGGGATCGAGAGTGTGTGATTGATCCATGGGAAACGATGAGCTGTCGTGGTGACCCACGTCTAACGCGGCAAACGAACATGATAATAAGAAACAAGATATCTTGAGGGAAATAACGGAGAGAAAGAGGGGCTAGAGGAAGAAAAAAGCTGAGACGTAGGAGATAACGGCGGAGACTTACATCCGTGCATGACAATCATGCTAGGACATGAGAATGCCTACTGTCCTCAACACCAGGTATCTCTGGTGAAGCGATCAATATTGGATCAGGTAAAGACAAGCGTCTCCTCATCTGCCCTTCTACAACACACCAAGGGCGGAACAACATCATCTCATCTTGAGCATCAACTACTTCGCTACATCATCATCACACACCAAAGTCCGCTATCACACGGAGGCAATCCGGGATCAAGGCATCGTCTCCATACGGGGCCACCAAGAGTCTCCCCGCCCGGTCTGAGCTGATAGTAATGATGCCCGAGTTGGTCTTGTATCCAGTCATAATAATCTCAAGGCGTGGGATGGAGACAAGGTCTCGGAACTCGGCTGGGTAGTTTGTATCATGATGGAAAGTCGGGCCGGGATATCTCTCGTGGGGGGACTCAGGGATATGGCTTCGTCGTGAGACTCAGGAGTAATAAGGCCGTGATAATGGGGCCATTGGTCGTGGACCTTGTGAGAGGACGTGGGTGAGGTAAATGTTGTATCCACGGTCTGAGAAGTTGAGCTGAGTCCGGGTCGAAGTCGAGGTCGGTACCGAGGGAGACCGAAGGAGGAGATGAACAAAAGGAGACGAGTTCTCGATACAAGAGACAGGTTCCGTGATGATCGAGGCTGGTGGCTGAGGGTAGCTGAGCTGCTGTTGTATTACTCCCATGGAAGAACCCGAGTCCCTCGATCCATGGTACTTTTCGGGTATAGCAAACTGACACTGACCAGAGAAGTAGCCTCCCCCAATAGCCAGGGCGATTCAAGACTTTCTCTTGTCATTGACGATCAATCACCAAGCAAGTGCTTGTTCATATTGAAGACTCCAAGAGCCAAACCAAGGGACGCCCTCATTCTTATACTCATTTCTCACCGTCTCAGCCTTATCAACAACCCCCAGGGTCCTCCCGCTAGACGCGGCAACAATGATGCAACACACACTATATCAGCATCGACAATATCCGAGATCAACTCTGTTTCTGGCTGTTTTTCGAGGCCATCGCATCAAATTTGGTGGTGTTGGCACTGGAAAAGACATCAGGGTTGTCCATCAAGGTGCTCACTTGTCTATCCGGGTTCTCAAAACCAGATAGGGCAGGCGCATGACGATAGTGACGTGATGGAAAGATACAACAGAAATACATCAAATTGGGTGAAAACAAGATGTATTCTTATATCTTGGGCTTAAAACGACCTTTATGGATAGCAGTTAATTGGTTGACTGATGAAAATGGTGTCGTGGTTGATTCCTGTGAAATGGCCGCAGAATAATGAAACAGCCAAATTGCTACTGGCCTGTGTCAAGTGATTCCTTCTGAAATTCGTGAAATAGATTCTATAACAAAATGAGAGACCCGAGAAATAACTTAGATTCTTTCCAAATAGTTCAAAGCACCTGTTTGCTGGTATATGGGCTTCTAGTTCCCTCACAACCTGCTTTCCATCATGCATTACACAGCATCTATACCCCTGACCTCGACCGATTAGATACTCCCTCTCGATTTCTATCAGCGTATGATTTGACTGCTTCCATCCTCATGCATCGACCAAAGAAGCTGCCATCTCCAAAAATTCAAAGACGATGGTCAGATGACAACCTCGTCCCCGTTCGTCATTACTCGAGTGATATGCCGAAAAGAAAGTTATCTTTGCGTTTATGATTCTTCCAAACTCGATATTCCAGATCAGTTCTACGATACTATGTCCATGTATAGCCACTCTTGATCGAACAGTTATCTTCCATCAGCTTCACGATGAAATCCCTCGCCTCGTAGGCTCGCCCTCCCTTACACCGATATATCTCCTCAGCTTTCCTCGACTGAGTACAATTCGTTAGGATGTCTCTTATAATCTTAGAATTACCTAGCATCGGCGGACATCCTCTTTTGGTTGCCTGGGTTCGAGAGATGCAACGTTCGAGATCCACACTCCCATAAAACCATAATCTTGTACAAGTTTGAATATCTCGACGTTGCAAAGGCTCCAGATCTTCGGTCTTAAATCATTGTCATGAATAAAATACCAGGAGATTAGGCATCAGTCTGTTCAAGAAACTATCACGGTATACCATCTGACTTTTCTTATTTGCTTTGGTCTCATTCTTACCTCGCATGCTACTGTTCGTCGACAAGACAAACCCCTAACCAGTACCCTAGAAAGGCTAAAAGTAGTACCGATATATGGATTTTAGCATTTATTCTTGTAATGAATCTTAAATAAGGTGAGACTTTCATAGCGTTGGTGATACTGGTTTGGAAGACGGAGCAACACCGCAAGCATCGATGCGGCGCACAAGAGACGAAGCAAAGTGCATATCCTAAATATTACGGCACTTAACATGACGGTTCATTTTAAAGCATGAATTGTATAGCCAATCACGTAGACAAGGCGTATTCGAGATGCTATGAAATAGCCAGCCTTCTAGTTTCAGGTTTTGTTGTCCGTAACTATGTACCTTACTTGGGCACCCCTGGGAACAAGAAGACTTCGAGTCTTGAGGCAGGCGCCAAAATTGGCTGGTCTAAAGACCTAATAAGTCAGACTAAACTTGCCCAAGACTTTTCATAGTTTAGGATAAGGATCCTAAGTTTTATTGTCTCTTGTGGGTAGTTTACAGTCTCATGACCCGTGTAATAGTTGCGTCCATAGACCACCAGATAGGCGCCCTTTATCCTCTTACAGGAACGCTCCGACGCTGAACAATACAGTCTCATGGCTTGGGGATACTTCATTACAATAAACTACATTAAAATGATCTTCAGATGTATCCTATCAGTTCCTTTTGAACACCTAATGCATCCAGTCCTATCATACAAAACCATCCCCGGCGCAGTAGGGAATCATGCAAAAGGCCTTGCGGAACCAAGTCATCTCAACCACCAATACAAAATACAGAGGTGTTCTTTCCTGTGGTATCTCTAGGCCCGGCTCACTGCAGCCCTTGGCTTCTCAACACACATACGGGCGAGCGCGCGATACTAGAACGGCTCAAATCCCCGCGTAAGTATACGAAGGGAGACAGGCAATGCCTTACCTCTCATAGCCCTCTTCACCCTCGCGAATCGGGTGAGCGAGTCCATCATAGACTCTGATGGAAGCTGGGGGATCTCATCACCGCTGCCTGAAAGTCTATATATCGCACTTTGTCGTCCACCGGACCATGGTTTGATGGGGATAAAAGGTCCCTTGTGTGCTTCTTGCGTGAGACATTTTGTCTCGTAGTGACGATCGACCAAAGCCCATTGAAGCAGGCGGGGATGGAGCTTTGCTGCTTCCGTGACAGACCTTGCAAGGACTTCGCCTCGTCTTCCGGTTGTGAGGTATGCTAGCCTTGCGCCGTGGCGGACAAGGAGCTTGAAGCATTTGAAGGCTCCGATGCGAGCAGCAAACATTAATGGTGTTCCTTTCCCATGCCACTCGTGCTCAATGTCCAGACCGACATCAAGCAACACCTGCAGGAGCTTCGGATCGTCATCGAGGATAATGGAAAATGATGGGGTGTGTTTCTCCTCCGGTTCAAAGTTCACCAACCGAGCACGATACTCACGTGGTATGCGCTTGATGATCGCTTTGAGCTCCATGGACGATAGCTTCCTGTTGACAAGAATCTCGCTAATTAAGAGCGGTTCCTGTTCTGCAAGTCGGTGAAAGTCAAAATTTCCATTCAGTACAAATGACATGCCCTCAGCAACCCCAGAGATCGCACTCGTGAGAGTACTTCCGGTCCCTGGCCTTGCCTCGTAGGGATCCCCACCAAGCTCAATCAACTGGCGAAGGGCATCCATATCGGCGTCAGCCGTTTCGAAAGTGATGTTGAAGAATGTCACAGGACTTGCGCCATTGCTCAATAGACAACGAGTTACTTGGAAGTCGCCGTGGGCAACAGATTGTCCCACAACTGACGAGCCGTTGGCAGACAAAAGATTGGGGTTGGCGCCCGCTCTCAAGAGTGAAAGCACCATATCCTTTTGACCATAGTGGGCAGCCAGGTGTAGGGGAGTTGCAAGTTCTGAGTTTTGCGCGTTGACATCGGCTCCGTTTTTGATGAGGAGTTTGGCCACATCGTGATATGTCGTGAAACCATGCAATCGATTCCTGCCCTCTCCGGCGAAAAGATGTATCACATCATGCAGAACCGTATTGTGGGTCGCTTCAGTATCACCCGAAGTAACTTGGTTCCTCATGTTTAGGGCGTAACGTAGAACTCTTTGTTCAATGCTCTCATCTGCAGAAAACTCGAACCCAGCATTAACCCCAATAGTCCTTATGAGCGTCCTGCTACTTGTTAGTATGACCTCTCGTTCTTCTGTTTATCACTTACCAGTATGCCTGAGCATGCTCAGTTAGGTGACTGATGAATATCTGAAGGACGATTTTCTGATGGTAAACAATATCATGTCCACTGTTCCGGGAGGAGTTGAAAAGAGCTTGGATCGGTGACATTGGAAGATGGAACCATGACATCCCCATCCCCAAGTAAGCATCTAAGCACAGTTTGTAGTAGGAGCGCGCTTTTTCTGAAGGGATAAACAAGTCAGTTGTCATCAGCATTCGAATATTCTGGCATGCGCAAAGAAGTGCGTTGAAGCCATCCGGCCAATGTTCCTCACACCCAGCCACAAAACCCGCAAGCCCCAAATCCACTAGTTCCAGCATAGGTCGGATCTTGTTGGTTGCTGCCGTGTAACTGAGAAGGGTACAGCCTCCACAGGGCATTATGGCTGACTCTAAGTCCTTCTTTGAGGTGTGGTCGAGGATAGACCTAAACAAAGGGTCTCGGCTGAGTTGATAATGATCTATCGCATCTGCTACCATGGCGCCTATCTGTCTTGGTTCAGAAATTTTCTGCTCGTGGGTTGCTTCACCGTGGGATGACTCTGGTAGCGAGTCACTGTCAGAATCGTCGTTGTCGTTGTTTTGGGCCAGGACTGGGTTCAGTGAAATGATACCCATATCCTGGGGATTATCATAGTCCAACAAATTATCTTTCATATACTGAATCAATTCTTGATTGCCACCAACGATTGCCAAGAACAGAGGGGTTCTTCCTGACAGGTCTTTCACACTGAACAGACGTTTCGAGTATCTCATTAATATTTTCACACAATCCAAGGAACCAGCCTTGGCAGCGAGGTGGGCGCATGTTCTACCAAACCGTGGACTAGTGGCAGCGATCTTGTCAGCCAGAGGTGTGGCTTCTAAGAGTGTTGTGAGGGCATCACGATGGCCCCCGGCTGCCGCAAACTGCAAGGCGTTGTAAGTATCGCGATCCTCCATATGTTCGTAAACGGCTAGCCAAGGAAACTCTGCCGACCCGACTTTCTCGATGATCATTTCAAGGATAACCACATATCCAAGCTTGGCGGCCAGAAGATAGGCACTGATGGAACTTGGCGGCGCCAAAGAGGCATCTGCGCCTCGTTCGACCAGCAATCGCCCTAGGAGGATCTTCTTTGAGCAGATCGCGATCGTAAGCAATGACGGGGATGGTGCGGGCGATTTCATTGGTGACGGACTAAGGGGAGCGAGAGTTAGTGAGATGACCTAAGTTTAGGATAAGTTTAGAAAACTTAGGGAAGTGCAGGATGAGGTTAGAAAACTTCGGAGAGCTTAGAATAGGTTTAGGTAACCTTAGGGAAAAGGAAGATGAGTTTAGACCAGAATAGAAGACTTACGCAGGAATTTCCAAGCCATCAACATCCAATCCCCGATCAATTAGCTGACCGAGAATTTTCACAGCGACCGCTTCGTCAGCTACTCGTACGAGCTCTGTGAATGTATACTGCTGCTGCTTCCTAATCTGATGTGGCTTCGTGTTGTGGAGAAGGGGCCGGATCATGCTGATGTCAATAGGCTGATGAGCCAGAAAGGTCTCGAAAACCGATCTCCCTTCAAGGGGCATGCATCGCCGAGGCTTGTGTACGTCGCAGCCGCATTGGGCCAGCAGCTCGACGACTTCTGGCATACCAAAGTCGACGGCTGTCCACATCAGATGTGCCGCCTCTTCCTCGTTGAAGAAGCCCATGATGCCGAATTCGCCGTCCTGCAGATTCTGATCGGAAAGCCAGGTGGTCAAGATAGCGGCGACGAATGGGACCTGCCAATTATCCCATTTCGGTTCGCTGACGGAGAACTCACCCTTCGTCGCTATGCAGCTAACGGCCCATTTTTTGCTCTCCTTTTCATAGTCTGCGAGGGCGCCCACTGTGACCAGGCAGGATATAGCCATGCACATAAAAGAAGATAGGAAATAGAGGGACGAGGGACATCGAAGCGAATCAGTATTAATCAATGGGAAAACATCCTGTGTGAACCGCAGCCAGATCCCCCGCCCCTTTGAGTCTCGCGACTTTATGACTTCAGGGGTAAGAAGCCGCATATAGGCGCTGCGTGTCATGTTAGGAAAACAGGACGGATGCAATGATGGACTATTAGTCAATCGACCTTCCTTCAAGAGCTTGACGTTTGTGATGACTGTCTCTGCTGCCGTTGTGCCATCAGCGAACGGCCGAGAGGGTCCAGCCCTTTCAAGTACCAATGAGACCATCTCCGGTGAAGCCGACATATTAAGTGACTTGAGGAGTAATTCATCATTCATATTAGCCTGGGGAAAGAGACGGAACAGCTGCCGTACCAGCCCGATATTGCCCCATTCGACAGCCCATCGAGCCAGGCTCTCATTGCCCTCAGCTCGTATGTACCCTTGGCTTTTCTCGAGCAGAAAATGAGCTGCAAGCGGTGCGGCGGACGTGGAGGTCTTGGGAGACTGCTGAAGAGCCCTGACGTGAGCAAACGCTGACAGCAGTGGCGTATGCCCTTGTTCATCGACGGTGTTCAAGTTGCGGATCTTGTAAGGATCGTTGTCCCACAGGAATTTGAGTATGTCGTCTTCGTTAGTGGCGGCGAAGTAGTGCCAAATGTTGCGGCCCCCATTGTCCGTATCAAAAGTCGGTGCACCATGTTCGAGAATCAGCTTAGCCATGGGACTAACTTCATTACAGAGCATGAGGGGTGTGCGACCACTTGAGTCTTTAGCTCTAATATCAGCCCCGGCTTCAATCAGCATTTCCAGAATCTCATTCTGGGCAGATTCAGCAGCCATGTGGAGAAGAGTCTCTTCCTTATCGTATTTGAAGTTGGCATAGAATCTTGGGTCTTTGATCAGACGATCCACCAAGATCACATTGAAGTCCAAAACGGCACTCCGAACGGCAGCCGCAAAGTTGCTGTCTTTCAATGTGTCCACCTTTCCGTCACCCAAGGGGGAGAGCTTGATGTTGGCGTGCACCATGAGTCGAGCTACCAGCTCTTGGAGCCAATTGTGCTCTGTGGACTCTTTTTCGATGTCGACCAATGTCAAGTCATAGACGTATGTGAGCAAACGCGCAAATCGAGTTCGGTGAAGCAGACCACGTTTGACTACAGGTTCTCGTTGTAAAAGGAGACAAAAAGAAGAGTCGAGGGCATCTCCTTTAGCGGTGTCAGTGGATCCTTGAGCAGCATTTGCAAATCCTTTGACGATGTTTGTAAAGATTGCTTCATGTTTGGTCTTCATTGCAGTCCAAAAGGCCAAACCTGCTAGTGATACCTCTTCAGTGGCATCTTTCCAAGAATACCGAAACGTGCAGTCTGCGCCATTTTCGATAAGCAGTAGGATAGTTGCCGCCTGGTCGACATCAGAATCGTTCCCAACGAGAAGAGTCGGCCACGATACTGGCTCCGTGCGGGTGATAAGAACCTTGCTGCCTACAAGGGCGCAAAAGAGTGGCGTGCCGAGAAGACCGGGCTGGTTGACGTTGGCGCCCATTGAGAGAAGGTCTCTGCAAAGATTAGGCAACCCGAGGGCGGCAGCAATATGAAGTGGTAAGACAGATCCGTTGCAGAGCGAATCAGTCAGTTCGAGAAGACATCTTGGCGAAAGGGCCATCGCGCCGAATGTTCGAGGGTATGTCTCCCTGGCATATTCAAGAACCCACTGTACGAAGTTGTACGACTTTTGGATACGAAAGAGGGAGCAGACTTGGGGTCGAAGCTTTTGCCAGTAGATCTCTGCGTATTTTGGCCACCTTATAGCCGCTATTCTATATGCTGGCTCTGTGATGCGGCGTGACTGGACTAATGTCATCTCTTTGTTGTACTCTGCAGGTTCGCGATCATTTTCAGGCGAATTCAGGATATTTAGCCAAACGGAAACATCTTCGGGTCTTGCTTCACCCTGCTCATCGTCATAGGGGGTCTGCACAGGTGATTCGATAGCCTCTGGATCATATTCCTTCTGGACCAGAAGTTGGGGCAATGGTTCTGATTCGAGTAGAGTGAGCCGAAGTGAGATGTCCTCGAGGGTGTCTGAGATTCCGAGCACAAACGCTAGTTTGGATCGGATGTCATGGAGTGACGATCTAGCGGCTTTGATCCCATCAGAAGTGGCGAGATGGTGAAAGGATTTTATGGCAGTAAGGAGTATCTCATACCCATCGACAATTGGCCATTCTTGAGAAGGGTCATTCTCGGATCCTGAGGCGCTAGGGGTGATACCCAGAGTGCTGTCGGCGGCATCATTGTCTACAGACAACTCAACAATCAGGGACTCAAGACTATAGAGCGTGCCTCCAAGAAGTCTCAACTCGATGGTCAAGGATTTGAGGTCATTTCTGTCAGCTTTGGCTCCGTTCTCTGTGGTTGCAGATGCAGATGCCTTCAGATGTGCACTGACGCAGGCACAAGCTTCAAATGTGGAATCCTTTAATGTACGGACGGTCTTCAACAGGGGAGGCGACATTTTGCTGACGCGAGCTCATGTTGTTGTTGATTTCGAAGAAGAAAAAAAAGCTTCTCTATGAAGCATTAAAAATCGAGATTGTACCATCGAGCGAGAGATGAAGTTGAAGATGGAAGTATTCGTCAGTGGAGGCTCAAGGCTGCAGATGTCATGGGCATATGTGGAGGCAATAGGTAGCCACCAATCAGCACGATTGACATTGGAGCTTGGGCCACCAAAGATTCAGTAAACTTGGTCAAATTTATGCTAAATCTTGTCTAAATTCACTAAATGTGTCCTAAACTTGCTCAGTCTATCCTACATTCTTCTAAACTTGTATAACTTTTCTTCTCACTGGCACTGACCTTTGGCTCGACGTCTTGAGCTTTCACGGCCGCAGGACCTGATACTGTGTTTGTAGCGGTTCATGATCTTGACGATTTGATCGCGGACGTCTTTTGCGCGACGCATGGAACGCGCTTTTGGTTACAGGCCTCTCTGCACGCCAGAAGGCAATCTGCATCGGCAGTGATGAGCAAACATAAAGCTAGGGGAAGCAAAACTTCAGATCTCAAGCCTAAGTGACAAGAATATTTATACAAGAAGAATTTAGGGTATATTTGGTATAACCTCTATAAAATATTTAGACAAGTTTAATAAAAATTTATGGAAGACTTATTAGTATCTCTTCAAATACTTAGGTAAGTGCTTTAACCCCAGGTTCCACCACCGCCGCCTCCTCTTCCGCCCTTCCTCTGCGCACTCAACCTCCAGTCATCCTCAGTAGCAAATTTATTATACAGCGGCTGGATCCTCTCCGCCTTCTTCCTCTTGCTCAGCTTATCCGTCGGCGCGACCTTGAAGAAGGTCGGCGCCGCCTCGACGAGCCACTTGGGCTCGATGCTCGTGGTGCAGTGCATGTACTCCTTGCTCGTGAGGATGAGCTCATGGTAGATGACCCACTCGGCCTGCTTGCCGAAGAGCGCGGAGCTCGGGTGCAGATACACGGGGGTGCCCTCGATGAGAGTCTTGTAGCCCTCCTGAGGATCCTTGCGAGCTGCGTTGCGGAAGAAGCCTGCGCAGAGGGCCCGGCGGACCTTTTCGGTGTCACGGCCGCAGGACCTGATTTTATGTTTGTAGCGGTCCATGATCTTGACGATTTGATCGCGGACGTCCTTCGCGCGACGCATGGAACGCGCTTGGATGAAGTTCTCGAAGCACCAAGGCGCTGAGTAGCCGCTCTGCTTCCATGAGTTGTAGACGTTGAGGAAGGTTAGGTGGTCGCCGTGAGGGTCATGGAACTTGGCCTTCTTTTGATCTGCTTGGGACTGCTTCTCTTTGGGGCGGTAAAAGACAGTGGGAATGTTGAGCATGGAGACGATGCTGAGGACTTCGTCTGCACATTCTAGATCAACAGCAGCGATAAGCACCTTGGCTAAGGAAGGTTCCATAGGGAAATCGGCCATCTTTCGCCCCAGTCGAGTAAGTAGACCTTCGTCGTCGAGGGCACTGAGGGCATATAGCTCCTCCAATGCTGTAAGCATAGTGTTGATAGGGGGCGGGTCCATAAAGTCAAAGTGAAGCAAGTCGTTTATGCCCATTGCCTTGAGCATGAGGATTGTTGTGGATAAGTTTTGTCGTTGGATTTCGGGGATACTAGTCGGCAACATTTCAGACTGATAAGCTGCCTCGGTATATAAACGGAAACACTTTCCAGGTCCAGTTCGACCTGCTCTGCCTGCTCTTTGGTTTGCCTGAGCTTGAGAGATTGGCGTGACTACCAGAGAGTCCATACCCAATTTAGGGTCGTAAGCGTTCTGCTTGACGAACCCCGGGTCGACAACGTAGTAAATCTCGTCAATAGTAATCGAAGTCTCTGCGATATTTGTTGCGATGACAACCTTACGGCTGCCAGGGGGTGCAGGATCGAAGATTCGACTTTGCATTTCTGTCGGAAGTTGAGCGTAAACCGGCAGAACGATGAGGTCTGGTACGTTAGGCCCTAAAGCTTTCATTCTCTCATACAAAACTTCGCATGCCGTGTCAATTTCCTCTTGACCTGTCAAGAAAAGAAGAATGTCGCCCTTGGGCTCGGTAATATGGATCTGCATGACTGTGACAAGAGCGGTATCCAGGTAATCGGACTCGGGCTCTTTTGAATAGAGGATTTCCACAGGGTATGTTCGACCGGGAATGGTGAAAATAGGACATTCGTTGAAGTATGCAGAGAACTTGTCTGCATCGAGAGTAGCTGAGGTGACAATGACTTTCATATCGGGGCGTCGCTTGAGAGCCTTCTTTAGCAAGGCAAACAGCACATCAGTGGCAATGGTACGCTCGTGAGCTTCATCAAGCATGATACAGGAGTATCGTGACATGTCGGGATCTACCAGAATCTCACGCTGAAGCATACCATCGGTCATATACTTGATCTTAGTTGAAGGACTGGTGCAGTCTTCAAATCGAATTGTATATCCGACCTCTTCACCAAGCTTGCAGCCAACTTCTTCCGCTACTCGCTTAGCAACGGACATGGCAGCCACACGACGAGGTTGCGTACAGCCAATGATACCATCATTGGCAAATCCAGCTTCAGCGAGATACTGCGTTAACTGGGTCGTCTTTCCTGATCCTGTTTCTCCGACTACAATCAAGATCTGGTTCTCGTGAACAGCCTTGATCAGTTGCTCTCGGAATGCATACACAGGAAGTGACTCTCGTTGTTCCTTGATGCTGAGGTTCGTGCGCTTGCCTAGAGACTGTCCCTTTGGAATCACTGCCTTTTTCCACTCGGGCACATCTTCGGAGGGCTGATTCTTCCTAGCATTCCGCAAATCGCTGGCAAACTTCCTCTTATCGGGATCAGCCATAGGGTCTTGCCATTGAGAGGATAGGTTTTCTTTGGGCTCGTCCTTCGCAGCTGCGTCGGCTTCCTGTTGCTTGAGCTCCTTACGTTCTTTCGCCAAGTTGGTACCAGACATAGCTGCTCGGTTCATAGAGCCTTCTGGGGCCTTGACAACGCGAATGGGTGATAATTCCAGGGACTGCTTGGTTTGTCCGGCCAAGAACGGCGGTTCCTCTTCGCGAACCTCAATATCGACATCCTCTTCAAGCTCAAGCTCGCCGTCTCCTCGGAGAGTCGCGTTGTAGTCTTCTTCCAGATCAGGGTAATCCGAGGCCTTGGCCACTCCCGATGCGATCAGTTGTCTGATCTCCCACCTTTCGGGAGAAGTCATTCTCTTCTTCTGACGTCGTGGAGGCCCCAAGCTATCTCGAGGCATGCCGGTTGGTTCCGCGAACCCGTCTCGTAGACCTCCTCCTCCTAAGGCTTCCATGTTGGCACCAGTCGTCATTCGAGCTTGCGGTTCTAGGTCCTCCCCAGTGGACTGATCAACATCCTTCATTGACAACCCCACACGATCGCGGCCATTCTGGTCCTTATCGAGACTTGTCACCTTGACCCAGACCTTTTGTCCATGCGACACCAAATCCGACGGGTGGTTAACGCGCTGTCCGGCAGACATTCGGGAAACGTGTACGAGGCCATCGACTCTACCTCTTACATTGTGCAGGTTGATAAAGGCGCCAAACTCTTTCAGTCCTGTAACATGCCCCTCGTAGACCTTGTGCAGCTGCGGCGAGTCATCAACTTCAGGAGCTGGAGCGTGGCGAAATCGGTCGTCGTCATCGTCGTGTCGCCGGCGCCCTCGTCGATCTTTGCGCGAATCGCGGTACCCATCACGCCAATCTTCGTCGCCTCGCTCATGCGATCGTGACCGCGATCGATATTTATCTCGTTTTCGTCGCTCTCCTGAGCGCGACCTTCTCCTTCTCCTCCTTGACTCTTTGTCACGGGGACTTCGACTTCGACTTCGTTTTCTCGCAGACTTCTCCTTTTTCGCCTTCCCTTCTAGACCCTCTAGCAGCGCCAATGTGTCGTCGAATGCGCCCGATTCATCGTCACGCGCAGGCTCCTTATCCGGCAACGTGAGGCCACTGAAGACCTTCTCCTTCTCTTCTAGGGTTCTCGAATGGTGCTCTTCGTGGTTGGCCTTGGCTTTTCCTTTAAATTGTGGGTGTAGAGCAAGCACCAAACGATCTATACTCTCTATGAGACTGAGAGGAATCGAGGGGAGGGCCTTTGCTAGATCATCGCGGAAATCCTCGAAGTTGCTGCATTTGGTTCGTTTATCGATGAGGAATTCGGCTACTGTCTTGTCGTCTAAGTTCATATGATTTTTCAACTCTGAAGATACCTTCGAGACGAGGGATAACAGCTCAAGATTCGATAAATCATCCATCGTGTTGTTGTGTTGTGTTGTGGTGACGCTGCTCGGTGCACAAGGTTGGAAACAGACGAAAGGTATACCAAATAAGTTACCTTCCAGAAAATAAAAAAACGGATGAGTCAGCAAGCAACTCGAAGACTACCTCGGAGGCGCAAATAAATTTAGGAAGTACTTAGGCAAACTTATAATAACCCAGTGCAATATTAGTATGAACTTAGGGGAGCTTTTGATTATTTTATTTATGCTTAGTACTGTGGTTGAAGGTCTTGGGTTTTACGCGCTTTGCTGGAGATGAGATATGGGGGTATTTATATCCATACGGATCTGAATGGAAGTTTCAATGACAACCTAACATACCCGAAGCTTTCTGCTGTCTTGTGAGTAAAATGTAAAAGGTATGTTTAATGCAGAGTCTTGCTTGAGAGAAACAGCTAATCTTGCTCTAGGAGATAAAATTTCTTCTCTAAAAATTACTATTCAACTAAACATCTTAAGTATGAACTGCCAGCCAAGACCGCAAAAGCAACTTAAGCAGTAAAGAAAGGAAAATATAAAAATAGTATATAATAGAAAACCTATAAAAATTAAAATAAAAAGTCATTTACTTAATGCTATAGTAATGTTATATAATTAAGAAGTTAGTGATCTCAATAACTGCAAGCTCCCCTATGGTAAAAATAATAAACAAAGGCCAAAAAGTGTGGATAATAGTGGATTCTAACCACCTATGTTGGACGAACAGGGAATCGAACCCTGGACCACTCCCAGATTCTTCAGAAGACTGAATGATGCTAAGGGAGTATTATACCACTAAACCATTCGCCCGATGAATGTGTGACTTTGTGTGTAAGGACTGCGCGGAAGCAGCACCATGAGGGAACGCAGTTGTCTGAAGCTGTGCATGGTAGTCAAGTAGCGCGTTGAAACCAGTTTCCAATACTAGTTGTGCGAGCTACTTGACGCGGTAGTTGGTAGTTGAATAAACTTACAGTTTAGCTTTGCATAAGCGATTCCTTATTTGCTTCAGATCCATGTTTTACGCTTCTGCCTGAAATTCATTCATGTTTTGTCGAGAGTGTAAGTTGAATGACGTATGCGAAACTATATCGTAGAGTATCGTAGGACGCTGCACTTTTTGTTTCAATATCTCCTCAGAGTCACTTCTACTACATAGTAAGTATCGCAGTCTAATATTAGACATGAATTCTCAACCCAGTGTGTTCATCGCAGCATTTCACGGGAAGTCTTGTTGAGGCAACTTGGCTGCCTCCAGCACGTTAGACTCAGTGATGACCCGATTCTGTGGCTGTCAGCGGGGCTCCAGTGACTGACGTCTCAGCTACAGCCAATCACGCACTCCCCTCCTCCCTGCACAGTCCCTCTTACGCAAGCCCCTCCCCCAGAGACGCCACCCTCCAGGTGACCCGACCTCTGTCCTGCATGGCGTAGTGCAGAACCTCGAAAGAACCCTTCGTCATCGTCAATCAGGTCACACGCTCTTCTTTTCTTCCTCACACCAAACAAGCATACAAACAACCATCAATTCTTCAACTCAACCGCTTTCTCTTTGCTATCTTTCATTCAAGAGTTAGAACGCTCTCTACTACACAACAATGTGTTCCGCCGACTTCTTCCTCGCTTTCCTCGCCATTCTCTTCCCCCCACTGCCCGGTAAGTCCACCAGTTTCCCTGTCGCGCATCATCGCTAACGTCAATTTAGTCTGGGTAAAGTGCGGTCTTTGCAGCGCCGATTCTCTCATCAACATCCTCCTCTGCTGTCTCGCCTACATCCCCGGCCTCATTCACGCATGGTACATCATCGCCAAATATCCTGAGCCGCCCTACGAGTACGAGTCCTTGCCACATGATCGTGAGGGTAACCGCGTTACCTACGTCTACGTCCAGTGCCCGCCAGGCCCTCATCAGCACGGCCACCCCCAGAACCAGCAGCCCAAGCCTCAGCCCCAACCTCATCATGGTGGTGTTAGCAACAACAATAACAGCATGAACTATGGCACTCAGAACGCTGGTGGTCCTTCTCGTCCTGCGCCCCAGCAACATGGCGTGACAAATAACGGCGAGGGCAGCTCTGAAAGCCAGGGCGTGCCACCTTCCTATGCCGACGTCGTCGCTGGAGACCACAAGATTCAGTCCAAGGATTAAACGTGCATCACATGTCTCTCTTACACGATACGGAAATAAGACAGTGAGATGGCTTCGTCCATCTCTTCGAAATTCTGGCGACTTGTTACAATTTTGCGCAGCCGTCCACCACAACAAGCGGGTCCTAAAGGACTTGGGTGAGATGGCCGAGTTGGTTATGGCGCCAGGTTAAGGTTAACCTTAACACCAATTTCCTGGTGGAGCAATCCTCCTGGGTTCGAGTCCCAGTCTCATCAATGAGTTTCATTTTTGCACATTCTCACGATATTCTTTTTGCTTAAGGCTATAAGACAAAAGGTCTTCGTTTGCTGAATCATGGGTGCTGCCAGGAGGAACTGGAGCTCCATACAGGCTCCTGCGTATTCTCCACTTCACAATAATTATATTAGGAGTTTTTGACCTTCTGATTTGGTTGGATTCGCGCGTTTCTAGTATAATGGTTCAGTATGGGTATCGGACGCATTTCAGCTTGTTTGTGGTTAATTAGACTTACTTGCGTAGGCCTCAGCTTTGAAGGCTTGTTTCAAGGTTGTTCTACTAGGTATACGAAGTTTTATGGGCACAGGTAGTTCATAAAGACCTGTTAAAGCATTGCTTGTTATATAAAAACATCGTGTCCGTGATCTCTTCTCATCATTTCTACACCGGTTGTATCACACGTATAAGTGAAAAGAGTAGGTTGCTTATGCTTATAACCTCGTATAATAGCCTAATCCTGTATGCATATATATTGTACAACCAATTTCAGATCCTTCAACGCCAAATCCAAGACCAGACATTTAACAGGATGCCCGGTTAATGGCAAAACCCCTTGTGAGAACAAAGCAAAAGTAAAAGTTCAATTGTCATCATCATGGACGCCATGCACCGAGCCGCAGCGCAGCGCAGCTGTTTTCTACGTTTGATCATTTGATCCCCTTTCGATCCTTTAGCACATGGGTATCGAGCTCCATTTCCTTCTAAGCAGAATGCTTTCTTTATATCCGTCCCCATTTTAAACCGTTGGTTTTTGTCATGATCATAAAGGGTGCCCTTTTTCATTTCCGTGAACGTATTTACGCCATCTCTTGGAAGATGCGTAAAAGACTCCTCACACCTGTCAAGGCGTTCTCGTCGGGTCCTTGGCCGGGGGTCCATTCGGCGTGGGCAAAGTCAATGAGTTTCAGGGAGTATATTTGTGGCAGGGAGGTCTCGAGGTCCGAGTCTTCGTCTAGCTCGTCTTCGTCGTCCAGAGCGATGCCGCTATCAACCCTCTTGGTAGTTCGAGCTGCTTGGCCGATACCTGCCTCTGCGTCGATGAGTGCGTTGTTCTCTTCAATGGCGCTTCGGAGGGCTTCGCCATCGCCCTCAAAGATGAATAGTAGTGAAGACGAGTACATTCGGCTTTCATGTCGTGAGAGAATCTCTTCGACTCTTTGGAGATCGCGGATAAATGCTGCGCAAACAGCCTTGCCGAGATCTTCATCGATGCCAGCGCTTTTGTTGAAGATGAATTTTCGGAACTGATCCACGACGTTTTCTTGGGTGACTGTTGTTCGGCCATAATCCTTATCGTAGATCTTGTAGTTTTCCTCGTCTAGTTCCGAAGCATCCTCTGATCCGCGGTAGACCCGCATTCCTGCTATCCGGAATCCCAAGCTACCGTGTGTCGTCTCGGCCGAGATCTTGTCGAAGCGCTGCTTTTTTTGTTGAGGGGCATCGTCAGCCCAGAGTCTTACTCCCAGCTTGACATCGAGGATGTTGGGGCTCTTGAAACCAAAAGTAGCATTATCCAACACAACCGCCTTATCGGTCTTGATCTTGTTATCCTTGGCTGGGACCCAAGCGCCCTCTTTTTGTTGTGTCGCTGTAGCGTGAGCAACTTGTTCGGTCACCGAAGCGACAATTTCTTCTTTTGACGTCTTGAGATCTCCAGCGTGGGAGATAACACCAGCCACAGCCTCGTCTATTGTCTTCTCAGTAGGGTCGGTAAGGAGGAGGGATCCCATAAACAATGGCATTATATCGGCGAACTCGGGATGTCTTCGATTAGCAGACTGGTAGAAATCGATCTCGGACTGTGTGCAAGGCTTGATGAATAGCTCGCCATCGGGGGTACAAAGCGTGCCGGCACTTGAGTCATCGAAATTAGCATGATGTAGACGAAGCGCGGGGGTGGCATTGTGACGCAAATATAGGTGCCAAGCCAGAGCGACAGAGGCGTTCTCAAGGGAGAGCAAATTGCTCGGATGACAAGCGCATATGCAACGCGAAAAGGATGAAGAGACTTACTGGCCGGCGACAGCGTAGTTGTAATCGCGAAGCTCTTTGCGATCAGGCATTTGTTTTGATCCCATCATAGTTGGTGGGATTGTGAGTGTGGCGGTGGGCTCGCGCCGGTCTTGGGTGTAGCAGCCGTAAAAGGGAGCACGCACTGCTTGCTTGATGAAAAGAGAGAGGGAAAAGGGCAATCAATGCTGTGAGAAAAGAAGCGATCAAGATCCGGAAGCGACTGGCGAAGGAATGTTATAGAAATGTCGAGGGGTGAGGGCGGTGAAGAAGCCTGTGGAGAGATGCGCAGTTGTTGAAAGGAATTGGACTGGACTTTGAAGCTGAAGGCTGGAGCAAGCGATGGACTCGAGAGCGTGGCTCAGTTCGCAGGGTTGAGCGAGTAGCGTAGCGTAGGTAGTGGTCGAGTCCGGAGGGGTCAGCTTCAGCGCAAGGCGAAGCGTTTATAGGGACCAGTGCGTTAAGTAGGTTTGATTTGAGTGGAGCGCCAAGTGAGGCAAGTTTCGAGGAGGGAAAAAAGATGGAAAATGGCCACTATAGATAGGATAGATATATAGATAGGGAATAAAAGAGATTCTTGAAATCAGGGTCAAGCACGATGAGGTCTTCTAAGAAATTCAAGGGCGCAGAAAGCGAGAATTCAAGGAGGGAGAGCGAGACAGAGAAGAAATAGAACTGATCAGCACAGGATCAACCCCCAGTCTTGTCTGTCTTGGTCAAGGTGCGACACGTCAAGGCACAAGGAGACGAGTTTGTTCAGAGACGATGGTTCCGCTTCGTCCGCAGATACAAGGGCGCTTGTACTGTGCTATACTTGTTGCTCCCGTCTGAGTGGCAGTAAGATAGAAAAAAATAAAATGGAGAGATCCGAGTGGCGATTTTGTATGTAATTTTTGTAGGTAGTCTCCAAGCCTTCCTTGGTCAGCGTTTGTGGCGGATGTAACGGACCAGTGGGAAATTAGAGGATGATGTGAGGCCAACGATGATATTTTTCTGACAAGAGCCAGTCAGACGAGGTCTTGGGAGGAATTGTGATGTACGAGATTGATGGTAAATCGTCATAAGATGGGCATTTCACCGGCTGTTTATACAGTATTCCTAGTATCAGCCGTGAATTGCAGAGCGGAACGAGCTAGTGACTAGGCAACTCAACGACAACCTCATTGAACAACTTTACTCAAAGTCCTAGGCATTACACAGCCAACCAACAAGGTACAGTACAGCCCGTGAATCGCAAAACATTTCCCCTCAAAGCGATAGCGAGACGAGCCCCGAATGACGAAGGCGATCCGTCGACAAGCCCCTCATCTCAGCGGCAATACCAGCGAGTCAACGACCAAACATCAGTGAGAAGTGAGCCCTGTCAAGCGCTCTGCCTCGCTGAGCCACAGCCAACAAGAACAGGGGTCCAATTCCATTGGCGCTGGGCATACTCATACTCTCTCTCTCTCTCTCTCTCTCTCTCTTTTGTATTTTGGCATCTTTTCGGTCATTTCCAAGAATCGACATGTCTCACTGTCCAACGTTTTGCTGGTTACACGTCGCAACGACCTAGTCTATCATCAGACCCAACCGGGGTGTTTACGATATACAAGGAACACAGGGTTTCTGGATCACGGATTTGTTCATGTGCTGCGTGTGTTTGCTTTGCTGGCGTTTTCGTTTGGGGACTTGAGCGGCGATCTTGCTGTAAACTTGCGATCTGACTTAAACGAGGGTTTGCTAAGAATGGCACGAGATTCGTCATTTCTTGGGTACAATGCTATTGATTCGTAGATGTAGCGGATTAACGAGCCTGAGGCCGAGACAAACGCGGAACGGAAGAGAAAATATGTCTGTAGCCTACTAACATCCATGCATGTATCATGCATGCATGTAGATGAAGCCTCAGCGCCTCAACTGACACTCGAGTTGAGCTACTATCTCAACCCCATACACGCACTCACTATGCAGTCCGAGCTCAACCTGGACTCTTTACACATCGGTTGAAACATCAAAAACAACATTACTACACAAACATTCAAGTGGTACAACCCCAAAACACCACACATAGTCTCACTATCTATCACACCCTATCAGCTACACTCGTTCAGCTTAGCCAAAAACCGCCTGGTGACCTCCATCAACTGACCCCAGAGCCAATGACAACCCCCACGAATTAAATCAAGATGCCTGTGCCTTTTTTCTCAAATCCCTCTCTTGTGTTGTCGACACCCTTTTCTTGACCGGGATGGGCCGGGCCGTATGTACCGGCGTGGTTTTGGTTGGTCCTCACACTAGGGTATCGTGAAAGCCTTGCTTTCAGCCCAGCTGGGATAGGCATTTTGGCTTGAGAGATTTCCTGGGATTAGATGATAGCCAGTCTGATCGGAACTGTATTCACATACGTAGTATAGCACACTAAGTCGTTGAAGTATATGCATGCATCAAAGCTAGGCGCAATACCAAGCTTAATCCTATCGCAAACGCATGAGTTGGACATTGCAAGATTGTGCTCGACCTTTATCATACATTGGTTATAATGTTGGTACAGTCGCTTAACAAGAAGAGATATACTCAACGGAGTCTCAGCTCCAAGCATAAAGGCTAATTGGATCAAATATCCCGGCGTGACTCTGTGTCAACTCGGCATGTTATTGAGGTTCGTCGACTTTGGAACTTATTTGTACTTCTACCACTTGCTAGCGTCCAAGGATTTTACATATTATCTGGAGAGAAGCATTAGCGTTAGGTCATGGCATTCTACAATCTGATATTGTGATTCCATAACCTCAAACCCCCCTATACTGTGCGAAAGACTTGATTAATATATATGTTCAAGGGCTTGGTTGACCTGATCACGAACTCCAACAAAGCCTTAAGTCTCGGTCGATAAGTAACTTCCAAGCAAAACCCTGCAGAATCTTCTTCTTTCGGAAAAAATTGGCATATTACATGTAGTTCGTATGGGTGCTTTAGAAACAAGAATCTGATCTTCAAGGGGACGCGCAGCTCTGAGGCAGCTTGCCGCCTCCTATTCATCCGCCCGTGTTTGAGCCAAACAGCGGTTAACGGCTAACAACCAAACTGGCACGTTTTCAGATGGAATCCCTCAGTCTGTTCCTTTATGCATTCGTTGTTATAAATAAATGCCCTTTGCTGTCTCTAAGCCATCTTAATTCCAATAGGAGGACACTTGTAAATCCTGATGCCAGCATAAGTTCCCCCTTATTAAGCAAAGACTTGACACTGCTAGCCAGCTCCTCAGAATCTATTCGTCCTATCTATAGGTAGGCAGAGCTGGCTACATTCTTCGCGTGTTCATCTAGCCTGTGAATCAGAGGGTTACTGACTACATAAAACCTCAGAATTTCTCATTTCCGAGTCTTCCTCTCTTCTTCATCAACAACTACCATGGCCGAAGACTCCAAGCCTCGGATCGAGGAGCCCTTGGCTCTGCCAGAGTCCCTCCAGGGCATCACCAAGAAGAGTCGCAAGAGAAAAGGCAAGACCCTCATCAACCGTGGTCCTACAGCGCTTCCAAAGAACCGTGGAAGCGGCTTTGAGGAGTACTTCGCCGATCCGCCTCTGACCCCCGTCGAGGCCACAGAGGAGAAGAATGAGATCTACTCTCCAGAACTCCCTTTTGCTGAGTACGGCCCGTATCTCTCTTAGGAAATGCCAGTGTTAACATCTACAGGCGCATGCAATCTTGCATCCAACGTTTCCGTTCCCGCCGTCGTCTCCAGGGCGATCGCGGCCTGTACTTCAACGAGTATCTATTCCTCGGCGGCGTCGATACCACGCCCAACACCTTCGGCGGTCTCAGCCAGCAAGAGCTAAAGGAACTTACTCCCGCCCAGCGCCGAGAGGCAACTGCCACAGATATCATCTGGGCCAACTCTCAAGGTGGCGACAAATTCTACGATGGTGATGACAAGAAGTGGAGTATCGATTTTGCTGCTGTCGTCGCGGGTTTCTTCTCCGTCAGTCTCGTCCACCTGACCTCTTTTGAGCCCAAGAGAATGGAGGAGGGCATCGACACGATTAAGAACTTTCTTCGATACGTTCTCCAGCACGATGTCTGCCCTGAGTACGAGGACAGTGTCAACGAGGCTCTCGAGCTGTGCAAGACTGCGAGTGTCGAGTGGCCCATGATCCGACAGCTCATGGCTGATCTCCCGGGTCACTTCACCCTCGCCTGCTCGGAGATCTTCTACGGGGAAGCAACCGACGAGCATTGGTCATTCCAGACTTTCAAGCGGCCCAAGGGTTTCGATCCCAAGGCCGTCTTCTTCGCGGCCTTTGCTCTCATGGACGAGCCTGAGCTCTTCGAGAAGTTGTCGCTCAAGGAACCCAGCATTTTCAGCGAATACACCTGCACTCTTGAGCTGGTTGAAGTCATCCGCCCTGAAGAGGATATCGTTAAGCGATTCAACTCTCTCGTTATTGGCGACAAGGCAGCCAACCACGTCCCTGTTGGTAAAGCTGTCTTCAAACAAGGCTACATTCAGGATGATTGGGAGAACCCCTGGGCTGGGGAGTGGCCTGTCAAGGAGGATACCATCACTATCTTCCTCGACGATGCTCTTCTTGCAAATATGATGCCGGGATTGAGGACTGTTGCGACTATTTGTGAGTTGGATGCGGGACTGCGATTTCTCAGATCTGTTGAGATGATTGTCCCATCATTCTTCATCTTTCTTCCTCAGGAGTTGATGCGTCACTACAAGGAGCCTAGAATTGATGATCGCGCTGCTCCATCGACCCGAAATGCGCAGAAGGGAAATGGTCTTGATGAGGAAGAACACTGAAAGGGATTTGAAAGGTGGTCAAATGGTTAAAAGTTGAAATGATAGCTACAGGGTAGATCGAAGAGTAGCAGCACGTAGCTCATTCTTACCAGATTAGTCGACAGAATTAATCTACACTCAACATTGCTCTTTCACACTAGTATTTATGTCATGTAAACTTGCTGCTCCAACTTTATCTCATCCTTGCACTGAGCTTCTGGAAAGCTTCCAAGAGCCCCACGCACAGACACCTTTGATCGCGACGACATTTCTCTTCCGTCAAAGTCGATGTAGCGACA